GCTATGCATCAGAGAGTTGGACAGTGACTAGGGATGATAGAAGGAACATTGATGGATTTGAGTTGTGGTGCTGGAGAAGAGTGTTGAATATGCCATGGACTGCTAGGAGAATAAACAGGTTTGTCCTGGAAAGGGTGAAGCCAGAATGTTCCCTGGAGTCAAGGATTCTGAAGCTTCGTCTGACATTCTTTGGGCATGTTGCAAGGAGGGACTGGTTCTTAGAGAGGGACATCATGTTTGGGAGAGTGGAGGGACAGAACAGGAGAGGAAGACCCTTGATGAGATGGATCGATGCTGTGAGTGGAGTGGTGGGAAGGAATATTTTTGAGACAGCGAGGTTGGCATAGGATAGAACTGCATTTAGGGCTCTTGTACATAAGGTCGCTATGAGTCGCAAATGACTCAATGGCACATAACAACAACAACAACAACAACAGTTAATATACATTAATCAAGTAATTTTAACTTTCTCAACTACTCCTTCCCTCTCTTAAACTTGATGATAAAAGCTCCTATCCTTCAGGATTGCTGAAGAATGTGAGAAAAATGTAGAAATAAATGACACACTGTGCAACTTACAGGAGACTGAGAAAAGAAGCTCTGATTTTTTTTTTAATTTTCACTTTTTATAATTAAATAAAGCTCTACAGAGTTTGTATATATTTTAATTTTCACAACAGTAAAGTAAAAGAGCTAGTGGCCTAGTGGTAAGGAATTGCACTGGCAACGCAAAGGCAAATGATTGAAGCCCACTATTTGCTCTGTGGGAGCAGCTTGGGCAATCTCCTCCTGTGTGATTTATTGCTTCTGAAAATCCACTAGAGGGTCAGCTGAGTCAGTTTCTACTTGATGACACATCAACAACAGCAGCAGCAGCAGGGTTAAGTAGGTTTTACCACTAATTTACTGAAAGAGTCAAAAGAAAGGACAAAAGAAAGGCCTAGGATGGAGCTCAAAATGTTTGCTGTCTTCTAGTAGCAAATAGGAACCAACTGATAGTTGACTCTAGTGAGTTTCTGAAGCTGTAAATTGCTTGGAGGATGTCACCCGTCTTTGTCATTTGGAACCATGTTGTTGTTGTTAAGTGCCATTGAGTGACTCATAGCGACTCTATGAGCGAAAGTCCTCAACCCTTGTGTAGCTTTCATCCTTTCTCCAGCTTCATTGGGTCTCCAGAGGCAAGATATTATGGAAGTGGATGCCACTCCTGCTTCCAAGCTTGTTTCAAACAGGGAATGCCACCAAACACTGTCTGCCATGGGTAACCATTAACACATCAGACACATCAGTGTCACAGTGTTCAGCTTCACAACAACCACAGGTAACCTCTGTACCGAGCCATAGGTAGATTAAAATCACTACAAAGCTGCAGCTTTTGGATCTGCAGCACAGTTACTGCAGAATATACTACTGGAGCTTCCTCAGGCAGGGAAGAGGTGATAATGGGAACAATCATCTAATCTATGCTAGATCACTGAGGTTGTAAATCCAAGGCAGCAGTTTTCTTTTTGTATTTTAATTATTTTCTTTTTTCTTGGTAAAATCTACATTAGTTAGGATTCTTGATTGACAATAAAATAAACATTGTCTAGCCAATTCTTTAACTGTGTATCTTGATCCTGTCCAATGTGTACAATAGACTAGGATGTAGCAAGGAAAAAATGCTGTTTATTTTTTAATTGTGTGAAATATGAATGGGATAATATTATTTACGATCCAGTCTTCATAAAAATTCACGTTACAGTAAATGAAACGTTTTTATAATTTCTCTTTACTTTTCAGTTATGCAACCCTACCTTTGATGTACCTGATGTCCAGAATCTTCTCAAGTTCAGATGTAGCATTCATCTCCTACATCTCTTTAAACTTCATTTGTGGGCTTTGCACCATGCTAATGACCATCATGCCTCGACTATTGGCTATTATCTCCAAAGCTGAGGTCAGTAATATTGCCAGCATCACCTATCCAGATGCTCACTTAAGGAGACAATATTCACTAATCCCTGTTTTATCAAATTCCTAACTGGTGTTAAATGGAAATGTGGTGTCATCTATTGCCTTTAAACCATAGAAAGAAAAATTGATCATAACTAACAAAAACACTGCGATACTATATTATAGTCAGGTCCAAAATTATTAATAAATCACAGACCCTTGGTCTGAGCTCCCTCAATTACTGATGACAGGCTCACTTAGATGGTTGTGTACTTGTTGATGAATAACTTAGTTTTTTGTTAGATTAATTAAATTAATGAATAAAAATATCTATCATGAAAGCAAGAACATATTATGGAGTAGGGCTGAGCAGAGAGACTAATCATACTCTCAGACTAGAACATATCTACAGATTATTTCAAAATAATGCTTGTTATCTCTGGTACAAATTTGGTTTTGCAATTTTCAGTGTTAGACTAAAATTTGCCCTGCAGGTGACTTCATGGTTACAGAACATTTCTCTCTGTAAAGAAGCAGGCTCTCTCACAGGCCTTTCATATTCACCTATTGCTTTGTGGATATGATCCCTATAGTAGATTTCTAGACTCAAATTGAATATTATTGTACAAATAATAGTAATAAAATTATTAATTATATTGTTGTTGTTATTGTTATGTGCCATCGAGTCACTTGCGACTCATAGCGAACCTATGTACAACAGCCCTAAACTGCTCTGTCCCTTGCCAATTGCACTGTCTCTAACACACCCATCCTGATTACCCCAGTCACTGAATCAATCACCTCTTAGAGCGCCTTGCCTTCCTGCCCTGTACCTCCACCCTATCAAGCATGATTTTCCTCTCTGAGACCGGTTCCTCCTCACAACATGTCCTAAGTATGTCAGATAAAGTCTCGGAATCCTTGTCTCCAAGAAGCAGTCCTGTTTAACCCTCTCCAGGATGAATTTGTTTGTTTTCTTAGCAGTCCATGGTACACTCAGTACTCTTCTCCAGCACCACAGTTCAAAGGCATCAATTCTCCTCCTATCCTCCCTAGTCATTGTCTAACTCTTTGATGCATAACAAGTGATTGCAAAGATTATGGCCTGTATCAGACACACCTTAGTCTCTAGAGAGACACTCTTGCTCTTCAGTACTTTGGAGAGGTCCCTAACAGCAGACTTTCCCATTGCAGTATGTCTTTTAATTTCCTGGCTGCTCAGGCCAAGATTGTTGACTGTGGAGCTAAGCAAGCTAAAGCTGTGAACAATCTCAATCTCTTCACCATTCATCATGATGCTGCCATTTGGTCCAGGGTGAGAATCTTTGTCTTCTTGACATTGAGCCTCAATCCATATTGAAGGCTGCAGTCCCTGACCCTCTGCAGCAAGTGCTTCAGGTCTTCCTCAGTTTCAGCAAGCAGGGTTGCATAATGCAGATTGTTGATAGATCTTCCACCAATCCTGATACCACAATTCTCCTCATAGAGCCCAGCCTCCCAGATAATCTGTTCTGCATACAGGTTGAAAAGGTATGGAGACAGGACACATACCTGGCGTACACCCTTCCCAATTTTGAACCATGCAGTGTTTCCTTGCTCTACTCTGATGACTGCCTCTTGGTACAAGTATTTATGATTAATATGTCTTATTATTAAATCTTTAGAAATGTATTAATAATATTTAATAAATTTTAATAATTAACAAATAATGAAAATTGCCAAATTTTCTTTGGCAATAATCTCCCACTCTGTCTTTTCTTTACAGTGGCATTCTGTCTGGACTGTTGCTTCTGTTTCACCTACCCTTTCACGTCAGATCACCTCTTGTGTTGTCTGTGGATATAGATACTGGTTTGCAGTCTTCTCTACCCCTGTATTTCAATTCTTTTCATTCTTTCCATTGCTGACTGTGAACAAAATGCTTTTCTCCACTCCCTGGTATTGAAAGTTTGATTCCTTAGAAGTTCGAGGGCTTAGATGTCCTACTGACTGAGAGGCTGAGAAAATAATCTTGGAAAGGCACAAAATCCTCAGGTCTGAAGGCCTCTTTCAAAGTCTGATTTAAGATGGGACGGGAATGACTCCTGGTTTGAAGTAAGATGTCACTTCTATATGATGATTGATGTTCCAGAAACTCATCTGATGCTCAAAGGATGATAGATGTTTGAAGGATTTTGTTTTAAAGTGCTATTTTTATAACATTATTTTTATTGCTTTGTATATTTGTATAGAAGTAATGTTACATTCAAGGGAGCTCTGGTAGCTAAATGGTAATAAGCACTGCAATCTCCAGAGCAGGGAGTTTGAATTCACCAGTTTCTTCATGGGAGAAGGATGGACAATCTCTTCCTGTAAGATTAACGGCTTATGTAAACCTTCTGGACAGTCAGTTACGGGTCAGTTACAACTTGACGGTTGCACGCAACAACAATGCCACATGCAAGTGTTTGTTATGTAATCAATAGAAGAAATAACTTATTGGGAGGATTTTACAACATCATTTCTCTCTGTATTAATATCTAGCCTTCAAATAGATAACTGGAGCTATTAATTGGTTTTAACTTGAGGAGAGACATGAAATAAATAGAAGACATGAAATGCATACATACATACAGTTATATAGATTTCCCTCCTCCCTCATCAACTCTCTAATATGACATTGGCCATTACGGATGCAGTAATGAACTATTATGGGAAGAAAAGCAGATCAAGGAAGATCATCTCTATAGTGAGAAAATCAGAGCAAATGTCTGCTCTAGGAGACACAATCACATAAGGCAGGGATAACTTTAAAAGGAAAGGAAGGAATGGGGAAAGTTCTTCTGGATCTAAGGAAGAAATTGGTGAGAAGTCTTTCTTTCTATGTGGTAGATTGTTCCAAAAGAGAAAGTCCCAATAAACCTATGTCTTTTAATTTGTTTTCAGGTCAGTTTTTCAGTCTATCTCAAACATAGACCTTGAGGGACTTTCTCTTTGGGAACGGGCATTAATACTTTCTTTAAGTTAGGATGCCATTGCCTTTTTATTTACACACCATCTAGTTGGAACCAATTTGTTATTGACCCTTGCTTGATCCACACTATATGAGATTGTTCCTATTTTTCCTGAGGAGCTATTGTTGGATCTGAACTGCGAGATGGGTAAAGTATTTGGTAAAGGAGCACCTTGCTATAGACGAGGCCATTAGAGTTCCCTAACAACCTAAGTGGGGGAGGGCAGAAAAGAAAGAAAGGCAAAACAGGGAAGGAAAGCAAAGATCTAGACTGCTTTCTGGTAACCCTAACTGGCTGAGTATGTTAGAAAAAGATGTGAAGGGTTTGTAGGTGGTAGAACAGAAAACCTATGAAAGGGTTAACTATGTTTCACTAAAGTGGTCTTTACCTTAAAGAAATAGAAAATTATTTTAAGTGACTTTAATCAAGGAAAAAGAAGCCCAGCTGATTCGTGAAGTGTACATTGGTCAGCAAACTGAAAAGCCAGTGGTTTGAAACTACCAGTTGCTCTCTGGGAGAAAGATGAGGCAATCTTTTTATATAATGATTAACAAACTTGGGAATCCTATGATTCCGTTTTACTCTGTACTGTAACTCAAAGCTGATCTATATCAGGTTTATGAGGCTGTAAAATTCCTCCTAGCAGAGGATAAAGGAAGACATTAAACATATTCCTCTGGTAGGGTCTTCTGTTTGTTTGTTTGCTGATACTTTAAAAAAAATTTATACTGGTGTATATACAAAGTTCATATACATTGTTTTTTACACCAGACCATTCCGCTTTCCTTTACCAATCCCTCTCTCCACCCATCAAATTGGGTGACCCTGTGCTTAAGCAAATCTCCCTCCCACCCCCAATCATTGTACATGCTTTACAATAATGGTGCTATACAGTAGGAACATACTACTCTTTATGAGACTGAGTTAGTTCACTTACCATAATTCCCTACAGCCCCTCCCATATTGTTGTATGAGCACAACGCATAGAGACCCTATGAACAAAATGTCTGAAGCCCCTCTACAAGTATCAACATTTATCAAAATTCATAGTTTCCTGAGGCACTGGATAGGAACTGGATGCCACTCCTGCTTCTAAACCTGTCATAGTATGGTATTGTTATTTTGTGCTATTGAGTCACCTGAGATGCATAGCAACCCTATGTACAGCAGCTCTGAACCCTTCCCTGTCCCGAGCCAGTCTCACTAATTCTGATACACCAATGCCATTGTCACAGTTACTGTATCAATCCATCTCATCCAGATTCTTCCACTCCTGCGCTGTCCATCCACCCTTCCAAAAATGATGCCCTTTTCCAAAGATTGATCTCTCCTGTCCAAGTGCGCAAAGTAAGCCAGGTAGAGCTTCGAAATCCTAGACTCCAAGGAGAGACTTGTTTTCAGCCTCTCCAAAACAGACCTAATTGTTTTCTTGGCAGTCCAATTTATGTTCAAGACTCTTTTCCAGCACCACAACTCTAAGGCAATTCTTATTCTGCCATCCTTAGACATTATCCAACTCTCTGAAGCATAAAAAGTAATTGAGAAGTCCATGGCCTGGATTAGGTACATCTTTGTCTCTAGACTGATATCATTACTCTTCAACACTATGGAGAGGTCCATGACAGCGGGTTTCCCCATGCAATTTGTCTTTTGATTTCCTGACTGCTAGCTGTTGTGCTGGAGAAGAGTGTTGAATATGCTATGGACTGCTAGGAGAACAGATTTTTCCTGGAAAGGGTGAAGCCAGAGTGCTCCTTGGAGTCAAGGATTCTGAAGCTTCGTCTGACATAATTTGGGCATGTTGCAAGGAGGGACTGGTCCTTGGAGAGGGACATCATGTTTGGGAGAGTGGAGGGATGGCGC